TTTCAGTTGCCCATCTTATATAATTTGTTGTAAGAATACATGAAGAATACTGGTTACTATTATATACTGTAGTTCCCATCATTATCTTATATGGAAGATTATGTACAATTATCATCCTACTTTTAGACGGTCAGTTTGTCCACCACATTCTAAGCTGCATTTAAAAAAAAAGTATATAACACATTAAATACAGGTGATTTTAATTACTGTACTGCTTAATACAGACTTCAGTTGAAGATATACTGTACCCTATGTAGACTAATAATAATTCCATGCTCTAAGGTTTTGTTCCAACCACCAATAATCATAATGTGAGGAAATGCTCACTTAGGGTATGCGAGAGTCTGGTGCAAGGACACTGAGAAGTAACGTGAGAGATGCAGAGAGCAAAAATATTATCAGATCAAGAGAGATTTATAAAGAAAATACATTACACAGAGTAGCAAGATAAAGTAGCAGTATATAAGGTGGTAAAGTAGGTTATTTAAGCTAGTGAGGAGAGGACGCGTCTGCAGATTATTGTAAACTCCCAAGGTGAGACTGGATACATATTTAGCCGAAGTTCTCGTAGTAACGGATGAAGTATGGGAGACGACGACCCTGGTTGACTTGCCCATAGGACGTGCTGACAGTTTTTGTGAGTGGGTTGGGACCACAACTGAGCACACCAATTTTAGATACCTGTGGAAGTTATTGGAATATTAATAAGGCGAAGAAAGGGTATTGTTAAAATTTTAAAACCACTGCACATTGATACAGGATTATTAGATTCGGTAAAACTTATATTACACTACAAAACTTATTCATTTATTTCATATATGCTATTCAAATGATATGCGTTTATAGCAGTAGATAAATTAAGAAAAGATAATTTTGACAGTAAGAGCAGCGTACAGTGCTGATGTGGCACGAGAGGAAGTTCTCATGGGGTGCAGAAGTTAAGAGTGAATGAGTGGTACTCTGACTCGCGGAAGGCTGTACACCATAGTCTCACCCATTGTCCACTGAGGTACTTGAAGTTTGGCGCCCTGAGAAGTATTAAAAGTGTCTTACAAAGGACAATATCACAGTGGGTATCAGTTACACTTTTCGATAACCATTTACTATTGTGATGAAATACATTTGCAACTTTCCATCTCTGGCCAATTCTTTCCACTGGTTATGTCTTTAGTGCAGTTCATCCACCAGGCAGGTAGTGTATGATGTTAATGGACGATCTTGAAATGTGTGAAAATTTACAAGATTGTCAAAACGACCCACAACTTATTCCAATCTGATGAGTTTTTAAATGTATCAATGCCAAAATTCGGACTCGATATCACCCGGTATGATTCTCAGGGCGATCACCTTCTAGGAGTCACAGCTGGTGGGTTGGTTTTGGCCTGCAAGTTGTTGACTATACAGAAGGGTTCTAAAGGACATGTAATTTGCGAAAAAAAAGAGACAAAACATATTCATGGACCCCGCAAGAGGGGGTAATTATTAGTGATTTATTTTCTTCCACCCAAACATCACACCAGCTAAACTATCTACACAAGAAACCTAAACCATCAACCACCTATAATAAACCCTCTCAATAACAGACTTCTTATTACTGCTATATTCTCATTAACAGAAACCTCCCAATAATGGACAGGGCTTGCAAAAATTAGTCCGGTATTTGATGGGTTTGCTATAATTGCTAAAACAGCATCGTTCCAGTTAATTACAAAATATTAAGTTTCCTCAACACACCTGTAGAACTTGACCTTCACTACATCAGAAGGCAGCAGCTCTGTCTCCGAGACTGATGATCTTGTCCAGGGTATAGATGATGCCTGGGATGATGAACAACAACCAGAACCTGTAAGAATCAATGATATGCGTAACTCTACAGAACTCTGGACCGGAAACTAAAGAATACAAAGTCAATCAGATATTAATTACGAGCTGAAGATTTATTATGACTAACTTTAGACCATGGTTAGGTTAGATTAGGTTCTAACAACCCTGGCCCAAAACAGACGCCCTACATTCCTTTAAATTCCCATTCCCTCGACCTTAGAAACTGTATACTGGGTGTGTATACGACAGTAGAAGGCACATACTTACTGCATATCTGAATGGTTGAAATGACGTAGTATCACGTGTTAAACCTAAGGAAGATTATCTATAACTATAAGTAGCTCTATATCATTATTTATCTCTATACTGTGATCCATTACCTTTATTTATATCGGTGTTGTATAAGGTAGATCAGGTGGCACAGAAACCTAAATAAAGAGAGGAAAAATAAGATAAAAGGTGTGAGACAAGGGAAGACAGTAACACCAAATATTAATTCAATTCATAGCTGTATAATAATTTTTCTGTCAGGTTGGCTTGGGGTGGGTCCCTAAGGGTCTTCAATTTCTTGATTAATATCATATATATCTTCTTTAAATTTCCGCAAAATATATACATATTATTAAAAATCCATGGTATACAGCAGGGTGGGGAGGACCACTGATTGCTATACATGCAGCTTTGTAGATACGGGTACAGAGTCAGCCAAAGGCTTGAGATGGACATCTGATCCGAAGTTGAATCTCTTCATCGATGTCCGCGGTGGTGGACAGGTGGGAGCCGAGATACTGAAAGTGGGTACTATTAGAGAGGGTAGTACCTGTATGGATGATGGAGGTGTGGCTGAACCAGGGGCATGCTAGAAGAGAAACCGAGTCTTATGTACATTCACCTCAAGGTCGCATTGCCTTGAGCAATCTTATGTTGAAAAATTCCTTCCTTCATGCGGTTCTGGATGTCCACCCCGCCAGCTAAATTGGCACTGACACGAGTAAGAAAGGCAGCCAAGAAAATGGAGAAGAGAGTTGGTGTCAGTAGACACCCTTGTTTTACCCCCGTTTGGATGGGAAAGAACTCAGACTGGATTCCATTGTGCAGGACACTGCCGTTCTTGCCATCGAGGAGTTGCCTCACAATGGCGATGAATTTTGTGTCGAAGGCCTTGGTAAGGTGGATGAAGGCCATGTAGAAGTCACGACGCTGTTCTTTGCACTTTTCCTGTGTCCGACGGGCTGCAAAGATCATGTTAGTGGTGCCACGCGATAGTATAAAGCAAAATTGAGATTCTGGAAGTTTACCACCTCAGGAATTAGTCTGTTTAGGAGGACTCGGGCGATAATCTTTCCAGCTACGGACAGCAGCGAGATCCCATGGTAGTTGCCACAGTCTGATCGGTCTCCCTTGTTCTTATACCGTAAATATTGACGATGGAGGCGTCTTTAAGATCATAGAGGATTTCCTCCTTCTCCCATACTGTATATTCTCCAGGTGAGAGTGGAAACGGCTGGTAACACACACACACACACACACACAAAAGCTAGGTCAGGACTCAAGGGGTCCTGAGGAGCACGTGCCCCTCATCATAGACACACGCAAATGTGCCTCTGTGGCCCTGAACCATGAGTCTATATACAGAGGCCTGACAGCATTATTATACAGTTCACATAATTTAAAAGTCCAGTACTGTATAACTTACTGTCACAACGCCAGAGACCGTTGTGACAGCACCGAGTCTGAGCTCCTTCAAGACCAGACTTGACCAACACTGGGACAGGAAAAGAATCTGAGATACAAAATACATCCTGGAATCAGTACATGCCCAGATGTAAGAGACCGTCCAAGTGGCATAACAAGCCGCTAAGTGGGGAAGAGGATAAAGCAGGCTAAGCCAAATATGCACTTACAAGGAACTGTATGTGTGGTAAGGTAGGGGAGATGGGCGAAGCTTGACTATATAAATCCTCATCAGATGTTAAGTGTTGAATAATGTCACTAATAATATATATATCTGACCATTTGCTATGTGAATTCGAAACTGCTATACATAAGTGATGGTGCTATTTTAAGTGATTATTATTACACACTTATTACTTATCTTAGTCTTTTAACGACCATTCTAAGGTTATCTAACGTCTTAATTGTCACACAAAACTTTAAATGGTAATATTTTAGAACAATTATATATGAATATTAAATGGTATTGTTAATTCTCGTAAATAAGAAAGAAGGGTAATGACTGGCAGCTGTGTGTTTAGGTATGGGTAGATTAGTAGAGAAAACGTAAGTAATGTGACGTTATTTCCGCCTTGGGAGGCTTTGGGATACTCGGGAGCCACCGTAGCTTTTGATGTACTATAAATTCGGTTAAATGCACTGTAAGCTGTCCCCCTTTTTATCCTCTTCGCCACTGATCGGCTCCTTATCCACTTAAGACGGTCGGACACTCCTCTGTTACACACTGTTGGCAAGTACTGGGCATGTACGGGCTCCTGAGTGTATCTGTACCTGTGCAACTGTTGGTTAAGTCTGGTCAGGAATGAGCTCATACTCGGTGCCCATGTTACCCACAAGAGCCCATGTTACCCACAGGTATCTGACTGTCTGTGTCCCCTCACATGTGTCCGTATTACTATAACTACTCAGAATTTATAGTGGAGTCAGCAGCTCAGGCGGGCAAGTTAAGGTTGGAACTGAATAGTGAAGCTAACACAGACGGGGAGGTGAGTGGAGGTTCCCAGGCGAGCACAGTAACTCAGACATGGGGAAAAGTAGGAAAAATATTTTCAGTGACAAGCTTAAATTATTCAGTTTATTATTAAATCCTCTCTCTCTCTCTCTCTTTCTTTATATATATATATATATATATATATATATATATATATATATATATATATATATATATATATATATATATATATATATATATATATATATATATATATATATATATATATATATAGAACCGAGTGGCTCTTGGTCAAACAGCAAGAGGTGTTTCACTGTGGCAGTTAAATGCCTCAGAGTAATAAGCAGAACATTATTTAATGAATATTGTAAGTCTCTAACACTGCAGCAGGCTTATCAAGATGCCTGGAATGAACTGTTGTATAAGCTAAAATATTAGGAAGAAAATGAGAAAATTAAAGAAAAAGGTTGGCATGAGTAAAACAAATACCTTTTATGACACGGATATAATTTATTGATCCAACAACGAATAAATAATTAACAAATAATTCTTAACAAAGTATAACAAGGAAAATTGGTGTGGCGGGTGGTCAAGGGAGGCCAGACCATACATAAGGCAGGTAGGATGGCTGGTGAGGAGGACCTGAACGGGTCTTGCTTCACTGTTCTGGAACGTCAGTCGTCTGCTCTGCTAATTCTTGGTTCTGTGTCTCCTCCGTTGGTACCTGGTTCTGTGTCTCCGCCAAGGTCTGTACCTCCGCCAAGGCCGGTATCTCCGCCGGGCTCTGGTTACACTGGTCCTGGGAGATGGTACACTTGTTATATCTCACCGGTGAACATTTCGACTTGCTGGTGCCTTCCAACACACAGTGTCCGTACTCACTCCTGGCAGATGGGTCCCACTCGTAACCCTCTGGACACTCGTGTAGGTCCTGACGGAGGCCTGAGGTGTGGGTGCTGTCAGCCACACACTCGTAGTAGCGGTTGCAGTTGAGAGGGTCTGGGAAGCGGCCCTCCTTGGAACATGTGAACCTGCCAGTCTCCCAGGAGCAGGGGTCTTCGCACTTGCCGCTAGCCTCATTGTACATGAAGCCCTCTTGTGTCGCGTTGTCGCAAGAGAAGGGCTTCTGCACCCACCCATTGATTGTGAAAATGCAGGTGTAGTATTGTGTACAGTTGTTGACGTTGGCAAAGACGCCGACGTTGGTACACTCTGGCAATCCAGCGTAGTTCGTACACTGGCTCATTGTAGTGTCGAAGACCTGGTCATCAGGGCACTGATAGATTTGGGGGTCCGAACCCTCGTTTGAACAGAAGAAGAAGCGAGCATCGTCGTAATTATCTACCTTGAATTGGTTGGGTTGATCGCAGGTGCATTCTAGAGGTTGGCCAGGGTAACACACCCCGCCTCCAAACTCAGGCTCCTTGAAGGCACACAGGTCACCAGACCCACAAGGTTCCGGATAGGCAGTGCCATTGACGCAATTGACAAGTGTCTTGCAATCGGCACACACAAATTCACTGCTGGCGCCCTCGCACACGAAGTCCAACTTGGGGTCAGAGACGAGAGCCCTGGCGGAGCGCGGCTTACAAGTGTGTACCTGTGGAGAGTTTCACCATCACCCACCTCACACCACCAACACCTCCATCATGCAGGCTACAGGACATATTGTGTTACACTATGATAACTATATATTCATAACAATACTGCACATTACAGGCTACTGGCTAACCTTATAGTTTATTACTAACTGGATCCCTAAAGGATTTTATTTGTTGGTCTATCCTAAAACAAATAGCTTGCAAGAGTTCACACTTGGCGCGCTCACAACATTCTCTGGCAGGTTATTCTAAAAGATCACAACTCATACTCCGGTAAAATTAGTACCACCCTGAACTACCCTGACGCTTCAAAATCCAAGATATAATGTAATCGAGTCGTGAAATACGATACGTACCTTCTGCAGGCTAACACACTTCCTGAGGGTTGGATGGTAGGCTCGCCCTCTGCAGGTTCCCTCACGAGCTTTAAGGCCTCCAGCACCGTCAGGCAGACAGTCCACGAAACCTCCACAGTCCTCTGGGTGGGGGAAGCGGCCCTGGGACACACATCTCATGCTGGGGGGAGGATGGTTTATTGTTGTTATAATGTTATTACTGCGGTTCAATAACGAAGGTCTTTAAGCGCGCAACAATGTTAGTAATACAGTATTACATCAACAATTAAAATAATATAAGCTATAGAACTCTCTGTAGTAGACGGACCTTAGTGGTGTGTGTGTGTGTGTGTAATAAGACACACAACATCTAACTTCCCTGTATTATAATTTTCGTTCATTGTTGCCATTTAAATCATTTGTGGAGTTCATTGTACTGTAGATGGAAAGGGAAGTCACATAAACAAATTTGCTCTAATTTGGTTTTTGCGTTAGTTTGTTGATTATTTTTGGCGTGTCCGATTCCGTGGATATAACCGGGAGTTTGGTGAGCTTACTGTAATGCTGATACCAATTCGAACGTCATTTACATGTTTTCGTTATAAGTTAGCAAGTTTTAACATCCCCAGTTACGCACACGAACCTTTGACAGTCCGGGACCAGTTAATGAGTAAGTTCCAATATTCTTCTGAGTGGTTTCTACTCTTAATCTCACTAGAATTGTCGAAAATCTTTTAAAAATGTGACTGGAATCGTAACATGACTTCCCCCGACAATATATTAAGAAATCTAATTAATTATGACATGATTTAATGTAAATTTGGTGTATAATTTTCTACCACAATTACACAAAATACAGCAAATAACAATTTCATTAGTCATTATAGTCTAATGTTTATTTTACCCCAATAGTACCGTACAATACCACCAGCTATAATACTCAAATATTAAGTTATAACACTCAAAGGATTGTTGTAATGAAGTCTAAGGGTTGTCATGGCAATGGAAGGATCATTCCTATAAGGTTAAATTATCGTAATCAATCGGCCGCCATCACACCCAATAGGTTAAGTTATCGTACTCAATACTCTACCATCACACACAATAGGTTAGGTTATCGTACTCGAGGGATAAAGTTGGAGAGAGTAAGGGAGAAGTAGGGGAGAGTAAGGGAGAAATAGGGGAGAGTAAGGGAGAGACAAGTAAGGTGGAGAGTCTCTCACCTGATGGGCGTATGGGCCTGTTTATGTGACGTCACCACACACACCTGTAACAAAGAAGATGGTTAGTTATATATAAGACACACCTGCACCCTTATATATATAGGCAGTACACACGTGAAAACTCCAACACACATACAATAATATTTAGTGTTGGTAAAAATATAAACACGACAAACATAAGAATAACATTAAAATTCCACATAAAACAAATTAATAAACGATTAGAACAAGCGAGGGAGCATAATGATGAGGGATGTATAATGCTCTAAAATTCACGTAGAAATACAGGACATTATACATTGGAAATACGAGACTAATCCTCATACAGTAGGTATCTCTGTTGTCCGAAGTAAAAAGTTACAATTTCTACAATATAAACTCGTTTTCATAATTTTATCCCAGTTTTAATGATTTTGTCCCTATTTTCACGATTGTGTGCCTGTTTTTGTGAGTTGTCCCTATTTTTGTGATTTTGTCCCCATTTTTGTGTTTTTGTCCCTATTTTTTGTGATTTTGTCCCTATTTTTATGATTTGTCCCTATTTTGTTCTGCTACACTTTTTGAATGTTTTTTGATGAATGAGTAAGTCACTGGGGTATTGGTGAAATTGTGATCGTGGTGAGAGACTGGGGTGGTGGTGAAAGACTGGGATGGTGGTGAGAGACTGGGATGGTGGCGAGAGACTGGTGGTGGTAGTGATGACGACGAGAGACAGCGAGAGATAAGGTAATGTTGTTCTTAGTAAGCCAAGGGGAAGGCCGGGGTAGCGAGCGTCCCCCCAGACACCCTCCGTTATAACAATATTGACGATACTCTCTGTCTCACTTTGCCTCTATCTCTCTCTGTCTCTCCGCGTTTCACTCTCCTCTAAACTTTACTCTCTACACTTCAACAACTAAGGTATTTAAGCACGTAACAATTTATTTAATTACACTAACCCATCAACAATTAAAAGCAATAAGAGAAAGAACTTGCATCGTCAGCTGAGACCAACTACACGATAGTTCATGACGCCACCACCAAGTAAACAGTCACTCCCGGCCTACAATACTGAGAGGAATTCTATCACATTATATAACCGACACAGATTGCTCTTCCCTAAAAGGAGAGTTTTAAAGTAGATTACATAAATAGACGAAAGTTGACTGGCATGTGTATGTAATTAAGGTAAAAAATATTGTTAAAATACGAGACATAAAAATAAAGAAGCATTTATGTTATACTGTGAGGATAAGTGAAATGAGGGTCAGTATATATGCTAAGAGGAAGGAGTGTAGGGTAGATATTTCTGTGTATGGAAGCAAGAAGAAAAAGAGGCACCGGACTTTATAGCAATGGGAGGAGAGGAGAGAAGGTCATGTAACCTCCTTCCTCAAGATGATTCAGACTTCGGACTTACCAGAGCGGCCAACACGGTAGAAGACACAAGCAGATACGAAGCAGCCATGGTGACGAAGCCCAACACTCCAACTCTACCACCTTCACAAACCCAGGGATCTTATATAGCCGGGCAATCTTCATCAGTCTCCCCCCCCTACTCCCCCCTTCCCTCCCTCATGCTGCATCGAGTACCTCACCCTCCCTCCCTCCCTCCCTCCTATATCGCCCCCAAGCCTCCTCCCCCACACACACACTTTGCCTCGCCCTACATCCCCCTACCATTTTTCACTCCGCCGCTTTCCCTACCCTCGTTTTCTCTATACAAATTCTCCCTCTGATTTGATTTCTAATGCAGGGGGTAAGGAGCTCCCTGGCGGTGGTATGAAGGGGGCAAGGAGCTCCCTGACGGTGGTATGAAGGGCAAGGAGCCTCCTGACGGTGGTATGGAGAGGGCAAGGGCTCTTCCCCTGACGGTGGTATGAAGGGGGTAGGGAGCTCCCTGACGGTGTGGTATGAAGGGGTGAGGCTCCTGGCAGTGGTATGGAAGAGGGGTAAGGCTCCCTGACGGTGGTATGAAGGGGGGAAGGGCTCCTGGCGGTGTATAGAGGGGTAAGGAGCTCCCTGACGGTGGTATAGAAGGGGGCAAGGGCTCCCCCTGACTGGGGTGGTATGGAAGGGGGTAGGGGAGCTCCTGACGGTGGTATGAAGGGACGAGGGCTCCTGACGGTGTATGAAGGGGGCAAGGCTCTGCTCTGACGGTGGTATGGAAGGGGTAAGGCTCCTGACGGTGGTATGAAGGGGCAGGCTTCCCGACGGTGGTATGAAGGGGAGCTAAGGCTTCCCGACGGTGGTATGAAGGGGAATGACGGTGGTATAGAGGCTTCCCCTGACGGTGGTATGAAGGGGTAGGGCTCCCTGACGGTGGTATGAAGGGGGTAGGGCTCCTAACGGTGGAAGGAATGTCCCTGACGGTGGTATGAAGGGGGGTAAGGGGCTGAAAGGGGTGGGGCTCCTGACGGTGGTATGAAGGGGTAAGGAGCTCCTGGCGGTGGTATGAAGGGGCCAAAGGGCTCCTGACGGAGGTATGAAGGGGTAAGGGCTCTGGTGGTATGAAGGGGGTAAGGAGCTCCTGACGGTGGTATGGAAGAGGGGTAGAGGGCTCCTGACGATGAGAGCTCCTGACGGAAGTATGGAGGGGTAAGGGGCTCCTGACGGTGGTATGAAGAGGGGGAAAAACTCTGGCGGTGGTATAAGAGGGGTGGGGCTCCTGACGGTGGTGGTATGGAAGGGGTAGGAGCTCCTGACGGAGGGGAGGGTAGGAGCTCGGCGGTGGTATGAGGGGGCAAGGTCCTGACGGTGGTATGAAGAGGGTTAAGGAGGCCCCTGACGGTGGTATGAAAGGGGTAAGAGCTTCTGACGGTGGTATGAGACGATGATAAGGAGCGTCCTGACTATGGTAAGGGGTAAGGAGCGCCCTGACGGTGGTTTAAGAGGGACCAACGCTCTCCTTTAGTCAACAATAATTAATAACAATACATCAGTGTGTGAAGCTGTGGCACGAGAGTCAACACCTCTGCCACCTTGTTCTTTATCACCCGCCAGTCACCAGCGGAGTAGATGGCATATTTTCTTGATGTCTTGAGATTTTTATAAGTTACAAAGATGGGATATATTTATTAAGGCAGATCAGCAATGCAATCCAATCCTAGCTTACCGTGTATTGAGTCTCTAAAGTGAAGTTTATAATTTGGAAAACATGAAAGAGAAAGAAAAAGTCACCCAGAATTGAGCGATGGTTGAATTAAATACCAGAGAACCAGGGAGAGAAATCTTGGTGAACGAATAAAGTTTTTACACCTGTTCATATAAATCAGACTAAACAAATTTGAGAACTCCAATCACCTCCAACGTTCCAGATACTGTCAGTGATTTATTAGGTTAATGGGGTTATGATTGTTAGTTGATTTGAAACTGAATCTGGTGTTACTGGAAGATTCCCATCGACAACCTCCCCATTAGGCGAGCCAGCATAGCACCAGCAGCTCCTGAAGAACCTCACACCGTAAATACACCAATTTTTTGTTGTACCCAATGATGATGTTTGACTCGGTTACAATTCATGAGGTGTTAAATTTATATTCAGGAAGGGAGTTATTAAGATTGATGAAATTCCCTGCCTCCCTCCCTCTCTCTGCCTGTTCCCTGAGACACTGAGTTAGAGGGAGGGAGGGAGGGAGGAATATTTTTCTGGGACACCCTATATATTGCTGTGAGACTCTACCGTAAAGTAAGCCACATGTTTCGTTCTCAGTTAAGGGGTTATATAAGAAATTATTTTTTTTAGGATTCTGGAACAATATTGACTATCGTTGCTCTAAGACTTAGAGCAACGACTTAGTGTCTTAGTCCTAGCTGGGAGCTCCATTCTTCTAGCACCAGACACCACCAGGACTGAGTGACACCCAGACATCTATCACCACAGTCGATCCCAGACAAGTTACGGGTATATCTCCCGAGGGAGAATCTGTTGTCCTTCGTCTTCCACCTCCCATGGCCGTCACTGACCTGAGGACGGTAACCTGACGCAAGACGGATCTTGCCTGGTCACCATCTTCACTATTTGGTTTATCTTAAAAATTATTTCACCGTAAGAGACAAATTAAATATTTTAATTTATATTTTCCAGTTTAACATTTCCGAAACTTTTTCACTTACTATTTTTTTTTCTTTTTTACTTTGTTACGACCCTCAGTGCTCAGTGTTAGTAAAGAACTAAACCGGAGTACAGTTCCCGGAGAAAACCTGCCAAAAATTCTTCCCATGCCGGGAATCGAACCCGGGCCTCCTGGGTGAAAGCCAGGTATCCTAGCCACTAGACCACATGGGACTTGAGAAAATTGAGTTACGACTAACTTTAGAACCAAACATTTTAAGGACGTCGGTAATTGTTTTAAACTTACTGTATATATTATATGACTGAGTACAACGCAGTACTTCATGAGTCTTTTAGCATAGATTACGACTGATAAGATATAGGATGGGTCAGGTGTGAGAGGAAGAACCGTAAACAGCACAGGTAACCCCAGACAGGTGTACATCAGTCAGAAAGCGTTTCCTTGGTCACGGTTTATCTGCCTGAGGGTTTACCTGGCCGTGTGATGACCGTGTTATTGTTCTCCCGAAGTTTCTCTCCCGCTTGACTGTCTGTGTCTGGCTGTCTGTGTCTGGCTGTCTGTGTCTGGCTGTCTGTGTCTGACTGTCTGTGTCTGACTGTCTGTGTCTGGCTGTCTGTGTCTGACTGACTGTGTCTGGCTGTCTGTGTCTGGCTGGCTCTGTGTCTGGCTGTCTGTGTCTGGCTGTCTGTGTCTGTCTGTGTCTGGCTGTCTGTGTCTGGCTGTCTGTGTCTGGCTGTCTGTGTCTGACTGTCTGTGTCTGGCTGTCTGTGTCTGGCTGTCTGTGTCTGACTGTCTGTGTCTGACTGTCTGTGTCTGTCTGTGTCTGGCTGTCTGTGTCTGACTGTCTGTGTCTGGCTGTCTGTGTCTGGCTGTCTGTGTCTGACTGTCTGTGTCTGACTGTCTGTGTCTGACTGTGTCTGACTGTCTGTGTCTGGCTGTCTGTGTCTGGCTGTCTGTGTCTGACTGTCTGTGTCTGACTCTGTGTCTGGCTGTCTGTGTCTGGCTGTCTGTGTCTGGCTGTCTGTGTCTGGCTGTCTGTGTCTGACTGTCTGTGTCTGACTGTCTGTGTCTGACTGTCTGTGTCTGGCTGTCTGCTGGTGTAGAGCTTCACACACTCTCTTGGTTTACCCTTTGTTTACTCTCTACCCGTAAGAGGTGAAGACAGTGAAGACGCGAAAACTTTGTGAATTTTTCAAAAGATCAATTGACTGACAAAAACTACACGATACAGACAAGTCAAACATTATACACGAGACATAACAACTTACAGAGCTTTACTTCTGCTACTCATTCTCCCCCAACACTTGAAGAAGGACCTGAGCGTCGATGTTTCTTAGTTTCTCGAAGTGGAAGCAGCTGTAGAAAAGTCCGCCACACTCCAGGAACCAGCAAGTAAAGGATCAATCAGCTTTATTAACTCTTTGTAAGATTCGCGTTACACCGAGACCCAAGTCGCTGGAACACACGTCTATATATGAAGCATTATAATATATTTTTAAAAAGACAAAACAGCCATCAGAATTTACAGTCAAAAACAGAAATCGCGGGGATCTGAGTGAGTGTACACAACCTCGCTCAATGCAGAGAAGTAAACAGAATTTGGGTGGACCCGCCAGCGACATGGACGGGTGTTTACTCTCCGCTACGGCTTCCTCTTAATGAACTAATCATCACACCCACCTGCTCCTTCCCCCCTTCCTTCCCTCGCCCCTTCCTGCACCCGGCTACACCCCACTGATCACTATATTCAGAAAATCTTCACCATGAGATACGTGTAGTGACACAGGGGAAGAGGAGAGACGCATAAAAGAGGAAAATGCTAAAATGGATTCGTATTTCGACCTGTTAGCCTGGGCGAGGACTCAATAGGCAATATTCCTCATAACCAAAGATATAAGAATGCACATAACTGTTTAAACTAATGCACATAATTAACATACAAAAATAACACCTAGATTATACTAAGACTACCTTAACTAGATACCAGTTAGGACTGTGTAATAATGCAGATGTCTGCATTATTACATATTCAAATGGCTTGCAAACGTAATTACAATTTTCTAAAAGCCAATTGAACAAGTAATAATCCAGATATCAATTTTTGGTCAACAGATCCTTAATCAGCATGTTCAGGAGTACCTATACTGAGATTTTGAGCAAAATATATTTTTTTGGCCGAAAATGACAAAAATTGTAAGTCTTATGCCTTACAGGATTTTTGGCCAAAAGATAGATTTTGTTCAAAATCTCAGTATAGGTACTCCTGAACATGGTGATTAAGGATCTGTTAACCAAAATTTGATATCTGCACAGTGCCGGATTTAGACCTGTGGAGGCCCATGGGCAGCCTCTTTGTGGAGGCCTCCCTCATTATAACTACCCAAGAGGGTGGGGTGGCGAGTGAAGCGAGCCTAAACATCTGGG